ACGCAATAGCAATAGGACTGAAAAGAACATCATCTAGATAAATGCTTTGAATTGCAAATGATCCATTTCCGTTTCCGAGTAACATTCCTAGATTTTGTGTACCATAATTGGTTACAGCAATATCTATATAATTATCACCATTGAAATCATTAATAGTAATGGATGATGGATGAGAGTTTGAAGTCATATCAAACGTTATCTGTTCCATAAAAGTACTATTTCCATACCCAAATAGAATACCAACATCGTCAGTACCATAATTAGCAACAATGATATCCGAATGATTATCATTATTTAAATCAGCAATGATAAAAGATCGTAAACTAGAACCACCACCAGATGCATAGCTGTCTTGGTTGTAAATGGCTCCTCGATTATACTGATGGATCACACTAATATTACTGCTATTGTATTGCGCGACGACGATATCTAGTCGAGTATCATTATCGAAATCCCCAATAGCGACAGGATATGAATAAACGCCAGTATAAAATGCCATATTAGTTGGAAAAGTACCATTACCATCATTATCTCCAAAAAGAACAACGACGACTGTAAGTAAAGGACTGCTGATGATAATATCCAGTCGAGTATCATTATTAATATCACCGACCGCTATATATGTTGGACTATTTTTAGCTGCATATGTAACTTGTTTTGCAAAAGAACCATTACCAAATCCAAGAAAAATTCCTATATTACGGCTATTATAATTAGCAACCGCTATATCTAATTGCGAATCATTGTTGAAATCACCAACAGCTATAAAATATGGCGTACGACCAGCAAAATATATTATCTGATCTTTAAAAGATCCATTACCATATCCAAGAATAACACTAATGGTATTGTCACCATAATTAGGAACAGCAATATCTAGCTGATTATCATTGTTAAAATCGCCAACAGCTACAGAGTATGGTTGAGAACCAGTAGAACGTCCCGTAGCATTTATGAAAGAACCATTACCAACTCCAAAAAGAACATATGCAAAATTACTACTAGGATTGTTAATAACAATATCTAGTTGATTGTCATTATTGAAATCCCCAACAGCCACGGCGTGTAGCGGAATAGGAACTGTATATGGTATTTGATTTGGAAAAGAACCATTGCCATCTCCAAGATAAACAAGTACATTATTCGAATAAGAAATGAGAACAACAACAACAATATCCAATCTGTTGTCATTATTAAAATCACCTACAGCTACCGAAGATGGAGTATAGGTAGTTCCATATGTCATTTGTTGTGCAAAAGAACCATTAGCATATCCCAGAAGAATACTGATTGAGTTATTTAAATAATTGCCAACAACTATATCAAGTTTAGTATCATTATTGAAATCACCGACAGCAAGAGATCGTGGTGAAGAACCAGTTGCAAACATCACTGGACTTTTATATCCTTCAAAATAACCAACAAGAATATCTATACTATCAGTATCATTATTAACAATAATCATATCTAATCGATTGTCTTTATTAAAATCACAAACAGCAAATGAAATTGAGGATGATGACCCACTTGAATTCATTCTTGCATCAGAAAAAGTACCATCCCCATACCCCAGAAGTAAACCAGTATTATTAATACCAATACCAATAATAGCTAAATCCATTTCGTTGTCTTGATTAAAATCACCAACATCAATTGAATATGGAGAAGTAGAATTTATTGGATAAATAGTTTGATTTGGAAAATTTCCATTCCCATTATTTATAAAGACACCAATAGTTTTAGTTCCATAATTGGTAATAGCAATATCAAGAAAAGAATCCATATTAAAATAACCAACAGCTATAGATGATGGATGAGAATTAATACCAGTATAAATAATCATTTCATTGCTTAAACTTCCATTATGATTTCCAAATAAAATTTGAATATTATTTGTTCCATAATTTGTTATAGCAATATCTAAATATTGATCATTATTAAAATCTCCAGTAATTAATGATGATGATAATGAATCATAACCTGTTGAATAATTTAATGGATTTAAAAATGTACCATTACCAGTTGAATAATATATACTTATAGTATTTTTTCCATAATTAATTGTAATCATATCAAGTAATGTATCATTATTAAAATCAACTAAATTAATAAATATTGGACGAGATGAATATGTTGAAATATCTTTATAATTAATAAATGATCCATTTCCAGATCCAAAAAATATTCGAATATTATTTATACCAATATCAGTAACTACAATATCTAATTGATAATCATTATTAAGATCACCAATAGCAACCATATATGGAATAGAATTTGAACCAGTTGAATATTCATTTTGTTTTATAAAATTTCCATCTTTATCTCCATAATAAATAGATATCTCGTTAACGCCAGAATCAGTAGTAACTAAATCTAACCATGTATCATTATTTAAATCAGCAACAGCAATTGATCGTGTACCAACTTTATACTCTATTGGATTTGTTAATACTGCTGAGAATTTTAACTCGCATTTTGCACCTAAATAATACAAGAAAAATAAAATACAAATAGTTCAATTTCATTGATATTATTTGAAGAAAAAACATACCCTGTGGTTTTGGTGCAGTTAAACAAACAATAATGATTCCAGCAGTCGCCATAATACATGTAAATAGAAAAAAACTAATAAAACCTACAGTTAAATTTGTTATTCCCCCAGGAAGATGTTTTCTAAAAACAAAATTCAATAAAATTATTTTGAACGGTAAATTAAAGAAAAAGATTTACGAAATCGTATCATTAATTTTATTATTGTCTTGTTTTATTTCATTATGTGTATTTGAAGGCAAATTTGATATTTCTTCTGGTTCAATAGAAGATTCTCCAAAATCTACAAGTTCGATCACTTGAATATTATCATCATCATCAGTAGAAATCATTTCAATCTAAATAAAAATAATAATTAAAGAAAATAGGTTTTATTTATTAGAATTCGATTCACTCATAAGCTGTTTAATGTCTTGATTATTTACAAAATTATGAATTTAAATACAAATTTTATATTGATAATTACCTTTAACTAATATTAAAGAATGACTAAAGTAAACGACGAATATACTAATTATAAATATTAACAAATGTAATACAAGTACATATTTATATATTCCTTTTTGTCTACAGTAATCTTTTTTTTTCATTCTCTAACGAAAAAATATAATAAATTATATTAATCAACCAATAAGAAATGAGATATTTTCCAGTGTCCAGGTGAAAAACTGACTCAGAATCAAATACTTTTAGTTTTTTTTTTATTTCAGTGATCATTGATGCATAGATTGCTTCACATCAAATTTAATATAAACAGTATACGTCCTGTCAAAACAAAAAACTAATCATCAGCGATCTTTGTCTTAATGATCGGCGTCATACATTCAACATGATAAACAAGCCTAAATAAGTACTCATAAAATACGCACTTTCAGTTTTTTTCTTTATTACAATGATTATTATAATATATGAATCACGTTTTTTTCATCTTGATTGACTACCATGTCATCAATAAGATAAAAAGCTTATAAAACTAACTAATAGAAGAAAAAGAAAAAAACGAAGTATCTGAGCCATGTGACGTTATTATTATTTGCGTCTAAAATGATAAAAAATATATTTCATATATCAATATAAATATTCTTAGAATTTTTAACTCTAAATACATTTGTATTATGAGACTAACGAATAGTTGATCATTTTTATATTATATTAATTTCTTCTAGAAAAAAAAACTAAAAACTTCTAGATGATAAAAGACCTAAAGTCATATCTACACAAACAAATTGTAAACAATTTTAATTATATGACGTTTTGAAGTATTAAGTGATGACACTTCGTAAGTTTATCATACTACTATCCTCATCAGCTGACAGTGGAGGTAAAAGTTGAGTAAATGAATTGAGAATTGAGAAACCGAATGTAAAGCCGAGTGCATTTATAGATACACATAGTTCATGAATTCGATCAGCAAATGGATGCATTTCACCAGTAATAATAAATTGAAATAAAAAGAAAAGTGTAGGAAAACCAAGAATACTCATTACTAAACAAATCTTCAAAATAAACTTTATAATAGTTATTTCACGTTTTGTTTGTAATAAAATACCACAATTAGGTAATCGACGAATATACATAATAAGATGAAAATAAATATATAATATTAAACATACTGGTATAAGATAACAGACAAGAAGTGAATAAATAAAACCTTTGATATGTGTAAATGAGATAAGACAATGATATTGTTGAGGAAAATATGAAAAAACATGAAATGTTGTATATGCTGGAATTAAAACAAGAAATGATATTAACCAACTGAAAATAATCATTAGAATATAAATCGGAATATTATTTAATGACATTTGAAAAAGTTTTATTGGAGTTAATCTTGACATGGAAATAATTTTAAAAAGACGATATAATGCTTGTAATAAGAAACTATGATACATTTGACTTGTTAAGAAAAAAATAATACCAACTTGTATTCGACAAAGTTTTGAATCACCGAGATAGAAGTGATCTTTTAAAAGAGAAAAATCTCCAATAAATGTACGAAAAATAATTGAAAGCCATGCTAGATGGTAAATAGAAAAGACGAGATATGTATTACCAATAAGTATTAATGAAATTTGATCATCGAAAGGTGATGATGAAATTTGAATATGAATTTGACGTCGATATAATTTATTATAATGGAAACGATAAACAATAAGACCAAGAATAATCAATGAAATAACCATAGAAAATATATGAATTGCAAGTGTAGAACAATTCATTAAAATATTAGTTCCACTCATGATTGAAATAAAATGGGAATGGTTCTTCTCTTGTGTTATTTTGTATTTTTATTAATAATGAAAAACTGATGATACTAATCTATGAAAAAATAAAATAACACGCATCTTTTTCTTCTTTAGTTAACAAGACAAGATATACTAACATAAAATTAAGTATATCAATATATGTGATGAACGAGAAGAAAAACATTCTATAATTAAAGCTACATGTTATTTTACGGAAGTGGATTGTTTGACAATATTTTCATCATAGTGCTGGAGTGTACTTTCCATAGAATAAATAAAATTTTATCTTTTGTTAAATCTGATAGGTTGGAAAAATAATTCATCCAGCAATTTTTTCTATAATTATAGTTATTGCACGCATGTCATATGATGAGAAGTCTACAATATAACAATTCATTTCTATATATCGGATAGCTCATGCATTTTATCTACCAGGTTTAGCGCCTAATGTATTTTGCCGAAAAGCTGTAGAAGATTCAAAATGCAAAGTTAGTTAAATAAACTATTGGATTATATAAGTTATTTCTTTTTACTAATAGACAAAAGTTGAAGTATTTGTCAATCGTCTTGATTCAGTCGAATCTGTTTTACCATATGAATATTCTTAGTAAATTTACAACAACAAAAAAAATGAATTCGTATAAAAATCTTTAAATTATTTAATTTAGTTTTGATTTTTGCACAATCAGTGATGAACCATCACCTGTTGAAAATCTTGGTCAAGTTTTATTCGGTGAACGAATTCGTCCATCACCTTACAAGGTTTAATATATATGGAATTTTATTCGATCAAATAGAAAATAATTTTCTTTGTTATTTTAGTTTGATTTTCTTAAAAATGATGATTGCCATTTAGTATGTACCAAACGATTTACATCATCCGATGCTTTACGACAAAAAATGTTGAAACGTTTAATGAAAGGAATGGTTTTAAATTATCAACAACATTGGATTATTGATAATATGCCTGTAACATTATGTTATAGAAATACTGAAAATCAAGAATTTTGTTCGCGAGGTTTTCCAATTGGTTGTTATGTAACGAAAAGTGGTCATTCAAAAGAATCATGTAATATTCGTGATGGAAAAAATGATACATTTTATGTATTTAATCATTTGGATTTCGAAATTACTTATCATAGTGGACAAGGTGAAACATGGGGAAGTGCATTTGGTGAAGATGGTGGTCGTATAATTGCAGCTAAAGTACAAGTTAATAGGTATGTTTAATATTCTAATTCGGAAGATTAATATTGAAAGTATTTTTCTTTTGTGTTTAGTTTAAATTCTGAGAAATGTGATCGTAGTGCTGAACCACTTATGTTCCAATCAACAGCAAAAGATGTTGAGATTCCATTTACATATAGTTTAAAATTTGTAAAAAATAATGATATTCGTTGGGCTAGTCGATGGGATTATATACTTAAATCATTACCACAAACACGTATTCAATGGTTTTCAATTCTTAATTCATTAGTTATTGTATTATTTCTTTCTGGTATGGTCGCTATGATTCTTTTACGTACATTACATAAAGATATTGCTCGTTATAATCAAAT